CAAACAACAATGAAAACTCGGCTAGATTGAACTAATGCTCGACTGGTTAAAGTTCGACTCATTTGCAGCCATATTCAATGTCCAATGACCATATTTTTATCACTAACTAACATGATTTTATTCATAACGTGATGCTTTGCTATTTTCTTATCTAATAATTTCATGATTAAAGAGAAGTTCAATAAATTACCCAGAAAAAAAAAAATAAATAAAAAAAAAGTCATATTTTCACAGTGCCTTATTTAATCTAGACTAGAAAAATTAGTAGTGGTTTATTTAAAAATAAAATTAAAGTATTATTATATCAGAAAATTCCATGAAAGGCACCCATTTCCATGTTTGACCTAAGCGTTTTAGCGGACCTTACCTTTTTCATGGACAACCAACTCCGCCGTGGCGACCGCGACGGCGACGGAGAGCCGGGGAAACCGGACCGGAATGAAATCGGAGACCCGAACCCGAATTCGGACTCCAGGCCCGATATCTCATCGGACACCGACGAGAAGCTCGAGACCATCGACCAGTAATCAGCCGCCGCCTCGTCCTCCGGCACCTCCACCGCCTCCACGTCCCACACAATCCAGCCGTTGGTGGCGGCGCCGGTGTGCGGGTTGTCGTGCGTCACCGAATTCCTCCACGGCGGCGTCCCGCCGTTGGCCCGCAGGTACTTCCCCCCAAACCCCCTCAGCCGCACCTGAAACCCGTCCCTAATCGGCTCCCACTCGATCGCCGAATCCCACGCGCCGCCTTCTTCCGGTTGTGTCTGGAGCACCTTGTGGCCAGTCATCCCCAGCAGGAAGGGCTCGCTCGAGGCCGTTAGGTAGCGGTTGTAGCAGCTCTTGAGGCGGACGGCGCGGGGGTTGTCGTCGACAAGCTCCACCAGCCACCGCGCCTTTCTGGCGGCGCCGTTGCTGCTTTGCCGTGTAGAAATCTGGTCGTCTCCGGCGACTAGGTACTTGTTCAGGTGGCTTTTGAGCCTTACGGCCTTGGTTTTGGTGAAAAACTCCATGGGAGTTGCTGTGATTGAGTGGAGAAATTTTGATGCCTTGATAGTGTTTGTTGAATTGCCTGTGAGACTATGAATTGAATGTTAGATTTTGGTTGGGCATGAAAAAAGAGTGTTTGTGGGTAGGAATTTGGGATCTTATTTAATATTTAATACGATTTTTTTTTTTTTGTTTACTTTTTCAACTAATTCTTGCATTAAGTTCCTTTTTTTACATTAATTAAGTAAATGTATTTTTTATTTATTTTATTGCATAATAATTAATGTTGACTAATTGACTAATCATATATATTTATGCTAAATAATGTATGGAACTATACACTTATAAAATTCTGTTGCAAACTTTTTTTGTTCCTTCAAAATATTTATTTGAAACTACTATTATTTTTTATTTCTAAGCTTTGAGCAATTTTTTTTATTCAAATTAGTCGATTATTTTTTTATGGCATAACCAAACGCTTTAGAAATCTACGCACTTGTTATAGTAATAACTAGTACAACATCCGTGTATTACACGGGTGCTTGTCAAAAATTATTCTTAAATTTTAAAATTAATGAGAAAACTATATTAAATTTAGTTTACTTTTTCACAAAAAAAAAAATATATATTACTATATATTTTAGAATGATATTTATTACTTGTGACTTACATGTGTTATATTATATTATTTTTATAACTTATATCATATAACTACTTGAAATATAAATATATTAGTTGATAAATAATTTTATTTTTCTAATTAATATTAAAAATAATTTTATTATTGTTATAAAGATAAATATAAATAATTTTTTTTATTCATGCAATATGGATGTTAAATCGAAGCTTATCAAAAGAAGATTAATTTGATATATTACATATGTAAGACTGATAAAAAAATACAAAAGTTATTAACTTTTAAAATATATACAATTCAATAGTTATAATATGGAATGATATTAAAATGCATAATACATGTAACATGACCATAAATAATCAACATATTTATGGTAATCCGAACCTAATTATTTTTTGTTTGAAAATAAATTAAAATTTATCCAAACCTAATAATCAAGCATGTAATTTTGCCACATAGGATTCCGAAACACCAGAAACAGCCACGTAGGCTCAGCGCGTTCTGGATTAATATATAAGGGGGATTTCAATGATTTTCATCTAATTAGTTGGTTATCATCACAAAAATTGTAAAAACTACATTATTGCGATCAATGCAGTATTTATATGAAAGTTAAATATTATATTCATATACGCATATATAGCTTACAATTTTTTTTTTTGACATATGTGCATTTGTACAAATTTGCATACTAATTAGTAGGCATGGTGCTCACAACACACACACGCACAACAAAAAAAAAAAAGTCTCTTTACATAAATTAAGATAAAACAATTATAAAACTTTGTTAAAAATGATGGAGTTTTGAGATTGTCATACGCTCTATAATATTATCTATCATTTCGGGAAAAAAAAAATACTACCGGTGAGCGATTGGTGAACCATACTAATAGGAATTGAAAATTAAATGAAATAGTTGTAAGAAAATGAAATAAAAAATTAGTTTGTTTTAATAATGTTGATAATTTCAATAGTATGGCTATTTTTGTTTCTTCATATGTAAGGTTTTGTTAGAAATTTCGAGGAAATTTGGGGAGTTTGACACGCATGAACATGAAATTTAATGTTTTCGTTGTAGTTTACAAGTTACAAATTTAATGTTTTCGTTGTATAACGCGAATGGAGGAGCGTGAACAATAAAATACTGGCAAAATTAAATTTTGAATATTTATATTATATTAATATAATAATATCTCAACTTTATACAAGTAAGTTTTATTTCAATTTTTTTCAATTAAACAACTCGGATTATTTTGTTTCTTTAGTTCAAACAGGAAAAAAAAAA